GTGCCGACGCCCGCCGTCATCGTCTCGTCTTGTGTGCGCTCGCGCGAGATGCCAAAGTCGCTCAACTTGGCTTCACAGCCCGCTGCCATGAGCACGTTCTTGCTCTTGAGGTCGCGGTGGATGATCGTAGGCGAGAGACTGTGCAGGTACGCAAGAGCGTGGGCGATGCCGAGCGCAATTTTGATCTTCTCATGGCGCCGCCACTGGAGCTGCAGATGCGACTGCAGATACGTGTGGAGGTCGCCTTGGGGCATGTACTCGGTGACCGCGCAGAGGTTCTGGAGCGAGTCCCAGGCAAAGCCAACAAAGCGAACAATGTTGGGGTGCGTGAACGACGCCATGAGCCGGATCTCGTCGGCAAAGCCTTCAATCTCGGCCTCAGACGTCCGCTTGGAGTCGAGAAGGCGCTTGATAGCGACGACTTGGCCGTTGAACGAACCGAGCCAGACCTCGCCGAACGCACCTTTTGAGAGGAGCCGTGAGCAGGTGACAGCCGAGTACGGGACGCGCTTTTGGCTCAGCAACGGGTCGCGCTGGAACTCGTTGAGCGTGTGCGAGGCAGTCGTGATCGGCTGGTACGACCCCGTCCGGGTCTGCGTTGGCTGCGTCGAGGTCGTCACCGAGTACCGATCTCTTGGGCGCATCTCAATGTACCCAGGCTCGTCGGACGATTCTTGTTTGCGCCGACGTGAGAGACACCACCAGATACCTAGGGCCAGCAGTACCCCACCGCCAATGCCGATGCCGAGGATCGCGGCCGTTGAGAGGCCGGTGGATGCCGATGACGTTGACGATGCGGCGGTCGGCGCGCTGGTCGACGGACGAGGCGTCGCGTTGGCCTTTTGCGTCGCAATCGTCTTGAGCCATGCGTCCATGGCTTGCGAGTTGGAGGGCACACACCATCCTGTCGGCGGCACGCTGCCGTCAAACACCTGGCACGGAAACGTCGCGCCGGCGGGCGTCGTCTTGTCCGGACATGTGCCCCACTGCGGCTCGCTCGCCAGCTCTTGCGTGTGGATGGAGAAGATGAGCCAAAACTCCTTGTCGTTCCATGCGTGGCGCTGCAGGTTCGGGTACGGCGCTGCGCCGAGGCCCTGGCCGTCTTGCGCCCACATGCTGCTGTGGCTGTCCTTGATGTTGCCCATCGTGATTGTGCCCGTCGCGCCCCGCGTGTCCGGGCGCAGGCGGCCGCCATTCGAGTTTTCTTGCCGGAGGTAGACGCCAGAAGTCGCCGAATTGCACGGCCGCGTGGTGGCGTCGCTCTGGGAAGCCAAAAAGTCTGTCTTGGGGAGCGCGATGCTGGCCATGGACTCGCCGACCGAGCCGACGCAGCGCGTGTAGATGCGGCTGAGAGCGTTCACGTCGACGGTTGGGTTGGATGGGACAAAACCCATGTCCCAGAGAATGGCGAGTTTGGCGAGCGGCGGGAGGTCGTCCCAGGTCAAGTTGACCTTGTTGAGGCGCACGGTGATGGCTGCATCCGGCTTGGTAGGCGTCGCGCTGACGCCGATCGTGCTGGTGTTGAGGCCACTGAGCGCTTGGTACTTGGTGACCAGGTCCGCGTTCTCGAGCCACGAGTTGCTCGACATACCAAATGGATACTGTGTCGAGTGCGATGGCGGACTTTCTGGCGAATTGAGCCAATCAACGGGGCGTACTGTACTTGCGACGCTGTGATTGGCTACTGCGGGAGCTTTGCTGACGGGGATGTGCTGCGAGAAGATCGAAATTTCGCGTCCGCTGCAATTCACCTTCACTCGTACCGTAGTCTCTCGGTGCAACAGTACGGTGTATGCACCGGCATGGCGTAGACGCGGCAAGGAGGGAACGTACTGGTGATAGATATGTCGTCATGGGGTCCACTTCGAAACGATGCAACACCTCAGCGAACAGTGCCTCGGTGCGAGCAGTCGCTGGCCAGCCAGCACTGTGGGGCGCACTACAAGCTCGCTTCGGCAAGTGGCCAGTTTCGTTGCGCAGAGGAGGCTAGGCCCAAGGACATGTGGTGGACATGGTCGGATGATGATCATCCCGAAGCCGTTGGTTTTGACTTGGATGCCATCGTAGTGCTCTCGCCAGGTTATCGATGGGTGCCACGCATGCACATTTGCCCGTGAGTCTATGCCGAACCTTTTCATTGCGGACGAGCTATGGTATGATGCAGCGGTGGAGCCTCGCGGCGACGGGCAACTGGGTGAGGGGTTGATGCATTGCTGCTGAGATCGACTCCTAGCTGGCGCAAGCCACTGCGTTTCTGACTCCACGCGAAACCATCTCGACGACAGCGTTAGGATTGGACTTATACCCTTGTTGGCTAGGTACAAGAAACAAAGTAGTGTCGATCTACACGGAGCCGTACGAGGTGAAGCGTGCGTCGTCGCGTCGGGTCTCGAGCGCATATTGCTTGAAGCGGCTGACGAGCAGACACAGCGTAAAGAAAGCCACTTGGAGTAGAAAAATGCCGAGGTACCAAAATGGCGCGGTCGGCTGGTCAACGACCATAAAATCGTACGGCCAGGCACCGTCCAGGATCACGTTGTGGCTCGCCCATGTAAAGATGCCGTAGAGCAGTGGCCAGAGCGCAACGAGCGCGACATGACGAGGGGTGACGACGCGGTCGTTGAGCGCAAACTCGAGTCCAAAGCAGATCACGGTGATGCCGTGCTGGACCTTATACAGAGGTTCAGACAAGACGTCGGGGGTCGCGAGCAGCGTCCAAAAGTCAAAGGCCATAGACAGTGCCGACGTAAGGCACACGTCAAAGAGCAGATCCAGACGGACGTCGTCGCCGCGTGGTCGCACGCTGCTCTTGATGGCCAACACGAAGTATACCACCTGGAGCGTAATGTTCCAGGCCGTAAAATCGGCCAGCGACGCGCCCCAAGTCGTGTAGCAGTCGAGGGCCAAAGTGACGCTGTAGGGGACGAGGCAGGCCACGCGCCACACCAGGAGCAGGCGCGGGTACTGTGGCGGCGCAAGTCGCCTCGGCGCCCTCCGAAGGCAGCGGATTAACGCGCACAGCGCAGCCTCCAACTCGTACTCGATCGGGAGAGACCTGTCCCCCTGCCCCATAAAAATAAAAACAAAGTCGGCAGCTTTCTCGAAGTGGATGTCAACTTCGCTTTTGGCGTGTCAAATCCACTTCGAACTTCGAAATGAGATTGCCCTTTCTAGCTCCGAGAGAAGGAAGCCACCCAAGACTCTGTCTCCAAGGCGCTTATACCTGGGCGAAGACACGGTTAGCTTGCGATGTGGCGAAGCCTATCTGGCTCGACAAATGTCCTGCAAGATAGCCAGCAAAACATCCTATCATTCGGTGCCAGTTGGCGTTGCACAAGGTTGTGGCCGAGGTTGTTGGATCTCGTCTTTCGAGCATCGATGGACCAATCAGGACGGACTGCTCGAATCCAACTTACTTTATATTTCGCCGACGATGGTCTCTGCGACGGCCGACAGCTCCGACTACGTGAGCCGCTTCCAGGCGCTCTACAAGGCCAACGCAGTCTCGAGCGTCGCAACCATGTCCCATCCCAAGGTACTCGCGCAGCTCGCGCCCTTCAAGCTTTCTTGGGGCAGCCTTCCGACGCTCTTGCAGCAAGCGGTGCTCTGGGACCTCGGCCTCGTCGTCGCCACCGTCAGCGGCGCCGATAAGCTTGTCCAAGTCTACCCGCTCTGCTCGGCGTCCATGGACAACCTCTTCTTTCCGCCGGCGACGTTTCTCTCGCTTGACGGCACGTCGCCGCAGATCTGTCCATCCACTGCGTACACCAACTACACGCGGCAGTACGTCGCGTCCGGCCCGGGCCTCACGCCTGCGATTCGCTGTGCGATCGATGCGAGCGCGTCCGCTGTGCCCGATGGACAGTCGGCCATGTATGCCCAAGACGCACTAAGTGCGAGCGACGTGCCCGAGCCCCGGGTGTGGTCGCACCAGCAGTCGGGGCAGTCGTGGGTCATTCTCGCCATTCACTCTCTTCCCAAAACTTACGGGCGCGAGGCGACGTGGGGCAACTGCCCGGACGAAGCCCAGAAGCAGCGCAGCGCACTCACGATTCCTTGCGTCGTGTACAGCAGTCGCCCGACCACAGCGTCCTTTTGCGAGCCCACGACGCTCTCGCCCGCCATGACTTCGTGGCTCAAAGCGTACGCCAACCCTACCTCGGCGCCGTCATCGACGACTGCTACTCCGAACCTCGACCCGTCACCCGGACGCCCTTCGTCCGCAACGACGACCGAGGAGAGCTCGTCGGCCGTACTCGTCGGCGCGATTGTGGGTATTGTCGGCGGGCTTATCCTGGCCATCTTGCTCATCCTCGTCTACCGCCGTCGGAAGCGCCAGCAGCGCCGCAGTGAGATCCAGTTTGAGCCGTTCGAGCCGCCCATCACGTACGCCACCACCCGCGGCGACACGATCGAGTTGGTGCCACAGAGTTACCATGCGCTCGAGACGCCGCGGAGTCCATCGCACACCATTTGTGTTGCATGGAGTACGCACACGCAGCTCAATTCTGCGTCCGTGCAAGCGCTGCGCGTCAACATGGCGGACTTTGTCGCGACGGCGCAGCTCTCGACGTCGGTGGTCGCCGGCGCCCTGAGCCACCAAGCAGTGGTCGTCAAGTACGCTGAGATTGACGTCAACTTGGATACATTTGTTCAAAATATTGCGCTGCAGAGCTCGCTCAAGCACCGCAGTATCGCTGCGTTTGTCGGCTTTGGCTACGACCCGAACGACAAGGCGAGTCTTTGCGTCGTTGCCGAGTACCTTGCGTTCGGGACGCTCGAAGCCTTCCTGAGCGACCAAGCGGAGTGGTCGTGGGAGGCCAAGATGAGCGTCGCCCTGGACATTGCCCAGGGGTTGCAGTACCTCCACGACCACAGCGCCTTGGCCCCGCGCCTCCGAAGCCGCCATATCTTGCTCGTGTCGCACGAACACGCCAAGCTCGCGAATTTTAGCCTCACGACCCACGTCGCCACGCCCGACGTGACGTATTGGACCGCGCCCGAGGTCGTCCGCGGCGAGGCCTATTCGTCGGCGGCCGACATGTACGCGCTGGGGTGTGTTTTCGCCGAACTCGGTACGCGCGCACTTGCACGCGTCAAACTCGTGTCTTAGGTTTTGGATTGTCTAGATACGCACAAGCGACCGTACGCTGATGTGCCGCTGCCCGCAGCGACGATTGCCACGCGCGTCGTCGCCAAGGGGCTGCGGCCGTCCTTCACCGGGCACTGCCCCATCGACATTCGCAAGCTCGCCGACGAATGCCTCTTGTCCGACCCGGACGAGCGCCCCACCGCGTCCGAGGTGGCGGCCGAGCTCACCAAGATCCTGCACTACCACCGCGGCTCGGGCGGGGTGTTGACGCAGAATTAAGATCTTAGAGTACGATAGTACGTCATGTCATTTGTGTCGTGTCTCAAATCAAGGGTATTGGCAAGCGCGCCGTACGAGGTCGCTGTACGAGTTGCCGTATGTGTCGCAGTGTGTCACGTGGGCACTTTGGAAACGCAGATTGAGATGCACAGCGTCCAGAGCCTCACCCACAGCCAAAAGCGTCGTAGGGCGACGACCGACGAGTCGGACGAGTCTCCGCGTCGCCATCTGCGCAGCCACGGCCCGGCGAGCGAATGAAGTAGAAGAATACTGCTAGTCTCTACGTATGCGAAGTCTTTGTGTAATTATGAAGGTTTCGCGAAACACGTTCATATATACTAGTATAGCGGATGCGACAGTTGAGGCTAGGGTTGGCCAGTGCCGGACAAAATACTTTGTCATTTTAGGTGCTGCCCACCAATGGCTTTCACTTACGTCCTTGTTCATATGCGTGCGCGACGCCCACAGGGCGCTGACATGACATTGCGAGGTTCTTATATCCAATAACGTTATTGTCATGCACAGAGTTGGTCTTTCGAAACTACTGCATTTCTAATCATCTATTCTATTTACCGCCAATCCGAAAATATTGCCACGAGTTCTCTTGCGCTCGGTCGCATGGCCGGGTCAGCGTCGAGGCAGCGGGCGGCAATCACCTGGAGCTGCGCCGGACACGACTCTGAAAACGCCGGGCGGAGTCCTTCGTTCGTGATGCGGTGTACCATTGCGACCTGAGGCACGGCCTTCATATTCGGGTACGGGGCTTCCCGTGTGTCAATCTCGCAGAGCACGACGCCGAACGAGTAAATGTCGGCCATCTCCGAGTAGTGTTCGCCGAGCAGCACCTCGGGCGCCGTCCAAAAGATCGTGCCGACGCCCGCCGTCATCGTCTCGTCTTGTGTGCGCTCGCGCGAGATGCCAAAGTCGCTCAACTTGGCTTCGCAGCCCGCTGCCATGAGCACGTTCTTGCTCTTGAGGTCGCGGTGGATGATCGTAGGCGAGAGACTGTGCAGGTACGCAAGAGCGTGGGCGATGCCGAGCGCAATCTTGATCTTCTCATGGCGCCGCCACTGGAGCTGCAGATGCGACTGCAAATACGTGTGGAGGTCGCCTTGGGGCATGTACTCGGTGACCGCGCAGAGGTTCTGGAGCGAGTCCCAGGCAAAGCCAACAAAGCGGACAATGTTGGGGTGCGTGAACGACGCCATGAGCCGGATCTCGTCGGCAAAGCCTTCAATCTCGGCCTCAGACGTCCGCTTGGAGTCGAGAAGGCGCTTGATAGCGACGACTTGGCCGTTGAACGAGCCGAGCCAGACCTCGCCGAACGCACCTTTTGAGAGGAGCCGTGAGCAGGTGACAGCCGAGTACGGGACGCGCTTTTGGCTCAGCGACGGGTCGCGCTGGAACTCGTTGAGCGTGTGCGAGGCCGTGGCGATCGGTTGGTAAGACGTTGGCGGCGAGCCCGTCGCACCGCGCGGCGCGTTGGAGCGGTACGTCGTAAAGTCGCTGTGGGCGGTGGTTTGCTTGCGCCGACGCCGGATGTAGCACCAGGCGCCGAGACCAAGGAGCACCGCGCCAACGACTAGACAGACAATGAGCACCGTGTGGTTGCTACTGCTGCTGCCAATCGTGGGAGCTGGCGTGGGTGCTGGCGTCGATTTTTTGGCAAGTGCAATCTGGGCAAGCGACTGCGTCATCGTCGCCGACGGCGTCGGGAGGCACCACCCTGTCGGCGGCATGCTACCGTCAAACACTCGGCACGGGATCGTGAGCCCACCAGGCGTACTCGACGGCCCGCAAAAGCCAAAGCCGATTTCGTCGCCGGCGGTCTGCGTGTGGATCGCGTAGATGAGCCAAAACTCGTTGATCGACCACGCGTGGCGCATAATGTTGGGGAGCGGGTACGTGCTGAGGCCCTGCCCGTCCTGCGCCCACATGCTGCTGTGGCTGTCGGCGACGCCCGTCACGTTGGCAACCATGCACTTGGTCAAGGGTGCGAGCTTGCCGCCGTTCGAGTTTTCTTGACGGACGTACGTCGTGTTGATGGCCGATGACGTGCACGTGCGCACCGTCGCGTCGGCCTGCGACTGCAGAAAGGCTGCCTTGGAGAGTGCAATTGTCGCCATACTGTCACCGCTACCGCTGTTGCTACACTTGGTGTACACTTGCGTGACTTGGTTGTTGTCGGCTGTCGTGGTGCGCACAAAGCCCATGTCCCAGAGCAGGGCTTGCTTGTCGGCGTTGCCCAGGTCGGCCCATGTCAGCGACAAGGCCGCGAGCCGCGCTGCAACCGTTGGCGGTGGCGACTCGGGGTTCCAGATGGTCGCGTCCGAGACGTTGGCAGCCTTGAGCGCTTGGATCTTGGCCACCAGGTCGGCGCTCTCGAGCCATGTCGCGGCCATGGCGGATTGCCAAATGCGGCCTTTCTTCCGTTTGTTCTGGCATTTGTAAAAAACGAACGACCAATCCGGTGGCCGTATTTCCTTCACCAGCGTTTTCATTGGCCACAAGATCCATAGAACATGGCCCGAAAACAGAATCCAGGAGCGACAAACCCGCTCGATTCAACGGCAACGGCCGTCGCGCCGGTCAACGAGACGCCTTGTCATGTCCTGTACGATCAATGTACTCAAGGCCGACGAAGAGACGCTGTGGCCGCAATTGGGTGGTCCGCGGGCGGCGACATTCCCAGGCGTGTACCAACTGGCGCCTTCTGCCATCTCCAAGCCGGAGAGCTGCGCTGGCCTGTCATCCGAAACACCGCTGTCTCCTTCTCGCTCGAGTGGTGGCGATGCAAGCAGTAGGAGTATCGGTCCAGGAGAAGCAGTAGATACCAGCGGCACCTTGGGTAACTTCCGAAGCGACGGCTGAGAGGGCTGGGTTCGTACCACTACGTCCAACCAGCCAAATCGATCGTCGACGAGATCGTCTGCATCCCACCCGAAGATACTGGTACTCATGTCATTTGCCAGCGCCGGAGCCGAGACCCTTGATACCTCGATGGTACTCGCTGCCCATCAAGTTGATATTTATGCGTCGAAATTATACTGCCGATGCCAGAGGTTAGTCTTCATGCAGCTACACACGCTTCACTATCTGTTTAACGACTCGACGACGCAAGGATCATGCATGTACCTGCAACCTTGCGTTGACCTACCCCCACAAGCGTAAATTCAAAGTATAGCCTTTTGTGATATTAGCACAGAATCCTACCATGTCAAATTAAGTTAAAGTGCCGCTTAGATATGCGCGTCAGCGCGGAGTGCGTCGGTGAACCGGTCGCGAAGCTCCGAGATCGTTGGGCGCCGCGTCGGGTCTCGCTCCATGCACGCATTGGCCGTCGCCACAAACCACGCAGGCGCGTCACGAGTCAACGTCGGTCGCAGTGGCGCCGGCGCGCCGTCTTGGCCCGTGACCTTTTGTACAATGTGCATACTCGGCACGCCCTTGATATCCGCGTACGGTGCGTGCTGCGTGTCGAGCTCGGTCATGATGACGCCAAACGAGTAGACGTCGACGGACGCGTCGTACTTGAGGCCGAGGAGCACTTCGGGGGCCGTCCAGAACGCCGTGCCGACCCCCACGGTCATCGTCTCATCTGCAATTCGCTGCCGGGAAATACCAAAGTCGCTCAATTTCGCAACGAGCGCGTCGCTCAAGAGCACGTTCCGACCTTTCAAGTCCCGGTGGATCACGGGCGGGTCCAGCGTGTGGAGGTACTGGACCGCATTCAATACACCGAGACCAATCGCAATCTTGACGTCGTACGCGACAGCGCGATGAACTGCCAAGTAGCCCGAGACGTCGCCGTTCGCGAGGTACTCGGTGACAGCGCACATGTTTTGCAGCGTGTTCCAGCCAAAACCGAGAAAGTGCACAATGTTGGGGTGCGAGAAGAGCGCCATGAGTCGAATCTCGTCCGCAAAGCACTCGAGCTCGGCCGCGTCTGCGCGCTTGGCGTCCAGAATGCGCTTGATCGCGACGGGGCGCGGCGACGTATCGGTGAGCGTACCGAGCCAGACTTCGCCAAACGCGCCTTTCGAGAGCATGCGACTGTATGTGATCGACGAGTATGGCAGCCGCTTCGAGCACAAATACGGGTCTTCTTGGAACGCATTGAGCGCTTTGGACGACGTGGTGATGGTCTGCTTGGCCTGGCTTGAGCCATGGCCCGAGCCTGTCCCGAGCGTCGGCCGTGTCGCGTGGTAGTAGCTGCTCGTGGGGCTCTGCGAGCCGTCGTGGTCGCCGCGTGGCCGGCGTGGCCGGCGTAGACAGACATAGGCGATCACGCCCAGCAGCAAGAATGCGAGCACGGCGATGAGGACGATCGTCAGCGTCGAGACGGCGGGCTTAACCTCGTCGCGGTTCGTTTTGGCATCGTGGATCGCTGTGAGCCACTTGTCCATGGCACTCGACGGGCGCGGGAGACACCACTCGGTGTTCGGCGGTGAAAACACCAGACTCGAAAAGTTGCCCGGCTTGTAAACCGTGCACGGGACGATGAGCGACCCGGGCGCAGTCGTCGCCGGGCACTTGCCCCATGCGGTCTCGGTAAACTGCGCAGGCACCGTATGGATCGCAAAGAGGAGAAAGCTCGGGAAGCCAATGCTGTGCCACTCGTGGCGCCAGAGCCGCGGGTCCGGCACGGTCGTTGCGTCGAGGCCGTCCTGGGCCCACATGCTCGCGTAGCTGTTGGGCGTCGTGTCGGGCAGCAGTGGTACGGCGCACTTGACGACTTTACCGAGGAACATGCCATGTGCGTTCTCTTGCCGCGTGTAGTTGCCGTTGGCGCCGGCGCAGGTGCGCACGGTCGCATTCGCCTGCGACGCCAAGAAGGCCGCTTCCGAGACTGCGATCGACGCCATCGAGCTGCCCGAGTTGGTGTTACCATCGCACGCAGTGTATACTTGGGCGACGTCGTCCGGGAACGTGCTCGCGCGGACAAAGCCCATGTCCCAGAGCAGCGCCTCCTTGGCCAGCGCCGTGAGGTCCGGCCACACGAGGCCATAGCTGTCGAGGCGCGCCGTGGCCGGCGGCGGCGGCGACGACGGCACGAGCGCGTTGCCGACCACGCCGGCGCTGTCTAGTGCGCGGAAGCGAGCCACCAAGTCGGCGTTCTCAGCCCATGGTGTTGGCATCGTCTTGGCAACTGGCCGGATGTTGATCTTCGAAAGCGGTGGCGGCTTCAAGCATGTCGCATATCTCGCTTTAAAACAATGTCTCTGTTGCTGTATGCATTTTTAAAGTTTGGCGAATACTCGCCAAGGTCACGGGAGGTACTGAGCTGCTGATCGCCGAAGATGAGATCCTCGCACGCCTATCATCGAACGTCCTACGCACCTTGGGCCGACGCAGCGTAGGCTCCTACCGATTCGCTGGCTGGCGTGGTTGGTGCACCCGGTACATATTGTGCGTCGGTGAAATGGCGAGGACGGCTGTAGCGGGCGCGTGAAGCGGGTGCAAAGTCGGTGCCGTCCTGCGTGCAGCAGCGACACATGCGTGAGTTCGACCAGGTGGCTTGTGTCTCGGCCGTCTGTGTGAGCGGCGCCATCGCATTTTGTGGGGCATTGGCCAATCGCACGACGTTTGCATTTGCTTTTAAACCAATGAATGACTCGTACTCGGGTGCTCGACGTGCACAACAACCGCGATCAGCCGAACACGAAGTTGAAGCGCTTCGATCGACGACTGCCAGGCACGAGGGTATACTGGTTGCTCGACGGGCCTTCACAGAGCCAAGCTACTGGTTTAGTACCAAAGCGTGGCACCCGAGCTTTGGTGCACGGCCTCAAGGAACCTGCAAGCAATGTTGATTCGTCTTGTCTGTGATCGGCCTGTGATCCAGCGAGCCCGAGAACAGAGTGAGGCTTTCGTGCTTGATCGTGTCGACCCAAGGAGGCAAGAAATGGAGCTTGGAGATCGCCCAACGGTACGCAAAAATGAAATCCGAAAAGGACCCCGGATGGGACTGTGGTATACTGCGTTCGACTGGGTTCTGCAGCCAGTGGATCCTTGAAGCTTGACGGTGCGATGCAGAGATCGGACCGGAGTGTGTTTGGCTGAGAGGTTGCTCCGTGGCGCACGGCAATCAAGCTCCCAGTGTCATCACGTTGGCGTAAGTATAGAGAATTACTTGTCCTCGGTCGCAATTAGCCGTGTAATGTAAAGTAAATGATTTTGCGTTCAGCAATTGCTTCCACAGGCGTGCGACTTTGGTGAGAAGACGCGAGCTGCACCACCGTCGCGTCACGATTCCGCAGCAGGAGAAGTAGCTCTACCGGTATTCTTAATAACCCAGCGGGATGAATGGCCACTCAGAGTCCGAAATCTCGTTAGGATCATTTTGTAGCCTTTGCATCGCAAACAACGGCGAGCGCAGAGCGTCGTAGTACCTACAGCAAGCCTTGCTCCTGGCACGACATTGGTGCTAGCTCGTGGCCTTGACGTTAGTGTGATCCTCAATCTACTTGGTCGAGGCAGAGGATCCAACGTTGGGATATTTCCCGCCGTTTTTGCAGCAAGATCCAAACCTCCCAGAATGCATACGTATATGTAGTATGACAGTATTTCGATCCGCGACGGCGATTGGCCAAAATCTTTTGGCGGGACCTCTCAGGTAAGTTTCGTTTTGGGGTTTTGGCCGCGATGCGTGGAGGGGCGAGTGCGGACGAGATCGCCGCTGCCTTTGGCAGCCGCAGCTTGGCCCTCGAGGACGACGCTCTCGACACGTGCGTGGCCTTGTGCTTGGAGTTCGGCGTCTCGGGCGACGTCTTTGCCGACCACTGGGACGCCTACTCGATGAACGCCAACGTGAGCACGGCAACGAAGGACGCGCTTGCTGGCTTTCGCACGACGCTGAGCGAGAAGGCCAAGGCCAAGCCCAAGGCGCCGACCAAGTCGATCGTCAAGCGCGAGCCGCTCAGCGAGACGCCCAAGAAGCGCCCGCCGCCGTCGTCGTTCCAGAGCCCGGAGGCCAAGGCGCAGAAAGCGTCCGGCATCTTTTCGCCCTCGTACGCGGCCACCCATCCGCCATGCACGCAGGTATTCATGCTAAGATAGGTCGTTCCAGTCGCCGCCGTCGGCCGCCGAGTACGCGGGGCGGCAGAACGCTGGCGAAGTCGTCGACTCGTTCAACGCATCCCTCAAGGCGATGGTGCCCGAGACGACGCACGCGGCCGCCGTCAAGATTGCGCTTCTGGCGCCCGAAAAGCACATGCAGTCGTCGTCCAACTTTATGTACACGCCGAGCGCCGAGCGAGCGATCGCCCTCGATGCGCAGCTCGTCGCATTCCAGGAGGCACTCGCGGCCGCCCACCCCACCATGGAGTTTGGCGCGATCGGGGATCCGTCGCCAGCAACGGTCACGGTGGTCGGGCGCATCGTGTGCGAAGCCGCTGAAGGCAAACTCAACTCGAGCGTCGTGCAGCTCGAAGGCGCGCGTCCCTACTGCGGCGGGCAGCGTGTGCTCCTCGACCTGAGCCAAGTGCCATCGTTTGAAGTGTTTCCTGGCAAAGTACGTTGGGTCTACCTCTCCACTAGAATGGACCATATTTGTCCATTGTAGATTGTAGCCGTCGAGGGTGTCTACAGCGATTTGCGCAACCCGATGGCGGTTCGCCAAGTCATCGACGTACGTCCTTTCTATGTTTCTTATGACGTGGCGACACGCAGTGGAATAGCCGAGTATGCTGCCGCTGCCAACGACGCCCAAGGCGACGCTGCGGACACTCCACGCCACACACGGCGGCCCGGTGCGCCTCTTTATCGCGTCTGGGCCGTTCACGCCCAACACGGATGCCAACTACCAGCCGCTGCAAGACCTGTTTGCGGTCGCAATGAAGGAGCAGCCCGACGTGGTCATCCTCGTACGTCCCGTTCTCGTGATAGGACCACAAGAACTAACTTGGCGTTAGATTGGGCCGTTCATTGACGCCAACCACGCTAGCTTCAAAGATGGCATTGCCACGTACGACGACATGCTCGTGTCCTTTGACGATATCTTTCTCTTGCACAGTACGACACTTGATGGCGACGCAACCCTAAACCTTGTCCTCATGTTCGACTAACCTGCCTAGTCATGGCCCGCATCAACCAGCTACTCGCGGCCGTGCCGAATCTCCAAGTCGTGCTCATTCCGTCGTTGCGCGACGTCAACCACGCGTACGTGTACCCGCAGCCGCCGTTCGATCGCAAGAAGACTATGGAGGCACTCGACTCGAGCAGCTACAACAAGGTATCCTCGTATCCTCCTATCCTCGGATGTATAAAGGCGATGTATGTAGCGCGTGCACTTGATGTCGAATCCGTGCACGTTTGCCGTCCATGGGACCGTGTTTGGCGTCACGTCGTCGGATATTCTCTTGGAGCTTGGCGGCGCCGAGCTGCACCGGTCCGTTGTGTGTTTTATCCGACGAGGCTTGACGTGATGGTGGACCGTAGCGCGCAAAACCATTCGCAGCAGCGCCTCATTCGCCTCTCGGAGCAAGTGCTGCGCCAGAAAAGGTACACGCGTGGACTTGATACATTGAAAGATTCATGGAATTAGCTTTTTCCCGCTGTTTCCGTCGACGGCCGAGACACCGCTCGACCTCAAGTACATGGCGCAGTACGAGATGCCATTGACGCCCGATATCCTCGTGCTGCCGTCGGTTCTGAACCGCTTTTGCGGCGTACGAATACGACCCTCCGCCAACGCACTCATTTCTGATTGCGATATAGAGCGTCCAAGACACGTTGTGCATCAACCCGGGCCAGCTCTCGAAAGGCGTGGCCGGCGGGACGTACGCCAGCGTTACGATCCTACCGCTCCCTTCGTTGGCCAGTGGCGATGACGACGACCTCGTGTCGCATGACATTCTCAAGCGCACCGTGACCGAGATCAAGCGCATTTAAGCATTGACAACAAGCAAAGAAGACTGGAATACCATGTTGTCATCATCGACAGTCTAGCTCGTGTTGACGCCGCCATTTTGTGTCAGACCGAGACCATGTCATTCGGGTTGTGCGATGGCGTCTACCGCACACAGATCTCATATAAGACGATACGATGTCATTACGACAGAAGCGGTACGTCGGCCCGCGCGTCAGCGGCAAAGTCCGAGTGGTCGCCGCCCGTGACCGGGATCTTGGCGTGCCGGCCGGCCGAGTCGCGCCTACAGACGTATATGAGAGAGTCACGATGCGTCTTGATTTGCTTGATTTTATCGGACGTGAGGAGAAGCGACTGCGTGTCTTGGTAGAGCATCTTGAGGAGGCAGAGGACGCCGACGACAAGCATGACCTGCAGTACGGAAAAGACGTTGGCCCAGCCGCACGTCGTCGTGCACACATTTTGGAGCTAAAGCGAGTAGCACGTGTATCAACACGATTGATACATTGAAACATGGATACGACTACCGTGCACGTTTGTTCGCAGTGCGCGACGGCGCCGACGACAAATTGCATTAGCGCCGCGCCAAAGCTGCCAGTGCCGTCAATGATGCCAGCGACCGTCGCAAGCGCCGCTTGGTTGCCGTGGAGGGACGGGTGCGTGCCGAGGTCGGCGGAAATCGCAGTCGTGATGAGCGTCTCGGGGCCGCCCGTGAGAAGCCCGAGCGCAAACAGAATGACGGCGGTTTGGTGCTCGGTCGCGCCAAATAGAAAGTGCAGCACAATGCTACAGATATCAAAATTGGAAAAATATCAAGGTATCAAGAAACACCGACGCCGAGAGCACGAGCGAGACGACGACGTACGGCGACCGCACTTGCATGCGATCGGTCGCGTAGCCGCCCGAGACAGCACCGAGAATCGCTCCGCAGTCGTACAAAATCTATTTTGCACCATAAAACATACACCGATTTTGAAAATCGAGGAATCGACCGAGTAGAAATTGGCGCGGGACGTGTCCATCGAGAAGGCGACCGTGAGGTAGTAGGGGACCCAAAAGAAGAGCGAGTAGCTCACCGATTTGATGCATGCATACGCCAAGGCGTACGGCAATACCTAAACCATTGCTTCTCAAAGATAAACAGACCATTACGACGTACGCCAGGGATGAGCCAGGCACGCCAGAACGAGATCCCAGGCACATGCGCCGGCTTGGCGATCGTCGGCTCGAGAATATTCGGTTTGGTCACCGGTGTATCGGGCGTCTCGTTGGTGGCCACGAGCGACGGGACGTCGGCCGGGTCGGGAATTAAGAAACAGTACACAACAAGGGCGAGGAGCCAGAGCAAGCCGCCCGCGACAAGCAAGACGACCTTCCACGCAATCGACGCGTCCAAGTACGAGCAGAGAAGTCCGACGAGCGCGCCGCCGAAAATGTTGCCAAACGACGCACACCCGCTCCACAAGCCCATCGCAACTACGCATCAAGTCATAAATATCAACGTATCAAGTGCATGTCGTCGTACCGCCTCGTTCGTTGTGACCAAACCATTTGGACCTAAACACACGTTTACTAAGCGGAGAAGACTCGAGCTGCAACGTACATGACGGCCACGTTGGACGGCCAGCCGCACGACTGCACGAGGCCGTTGATGCCCCAGAGCACAACGAAAAACGCAAAGGCGTGCACGTTCGCAAAGCCCGCGAGGCCAAAGACGACGAGCGCAGCGCCGGTGCACACCATGCCAAGCGTGATGAAGAGGCGTAGGTCGACGCGGTCACCCATCATGCCGCTGACGTATAGGCCGGACGCATAGCAGCCCATGAAGACCATGTCCATGATGCCGTACATGTTGCTTTGGCTACTTGTCAAGGACGACACCATCCATTCTTCGCGGCTAAGCTCGCCCTTGATGGACGAGAAGGACTTGCGTGCGACGTGGAACATGGCGTAGCTGAAGAACGTGATCGCAAAGGTCCGCGCCTTGAGCTTCCAATGCACGCTACTCTCGTCCATGTCGTCGGCCATCGTTGCGGTCTCTTGCTTTGTGCTGGCCATCACCGTCGAGCCGACTTGATCTCTGGCGTCGCAGATGCGCTGGAACACTTGGCAGTGGACAGTGCCAGCATGCTTCGCCCAATCAGACAACGCCAATGTGTTTAAAACACATTGTGTTGCAAACGTTTTGTTCGACCCCCGAAAGTTGTTGACCCACCCGTCCTGCGTTTGCTGTCAAGGCGTCAAAGCCACGTTGACGTCGACCCCGTGCAGACTATCGTAATCGAAAAGCTTTGACAGATAGAGTAGCGCCTAGATTGCGATGCATTTAGGTCCCAGAATGGTGGCTGTTTCGTCCCTTCAAAGGCGGCACGCGAGTTGAAGATGGGGTATCTAGGGTGCAGATGTACCCATATTGTGAGAGAAATGCTGGATCCCAGTTTGTTCAAGTTGTGTATAAAGCTCTACTAGCGTTGGTAGTAAAACAGGGCAATTAAGTTTAGGTTCTGGTAACGTTATGCAATTATTCCCTGGTTCATACCGCCTCAAGGGATGGTTTTCGCACCGACTGGCACAAGAAATTGTCGTTATCAATGCAGGAAAATGAGATGTTGTGCCCGTGACTGCAAGCACCTAGCACAAAAATTGGGTCTCATTGCATTGAACGTAAGGGGCTACTAGCTGCTATACTGCAGTAGCAGGGTGCCGGTTGGAAATCAGTGACGGTTCGATTACCCGTTACTCGATTCGACTACCGGTTACTCGAAGATCTTACGTTCTTCGATTTTGGCCATGAAACCGCCGTTTCGTCGAGCCGAGTCGAACCGCTCGAGGCAATGACCAGCCGGTTTGACGCGATCTTGTCGGACGGTTTGCGCGCGAAGATTGGCTCATTTCCCAATTTGCTCCCGAACCCAGCAGCAGCCGATTGACGATGTGGAGCTCCCAGTCGGACGAGGACCATGACATGCTGGACGACGCTGCGTCGCAGGCGCCGGCGCAGGAAGACCCCGGCCAGCAGGTCGGCGGCGATGGCGAGAACCTCGACGAGGAGATGGCCGCCATGAAGCACGTCTTCCAGCGCATGTCGGAGAAGGTAGCATGCTGCATGTAGGACATTGGCGGAGATCTCATGCGACAATGCCATGCTGCGAAGAAAGCTCGGCAGAAGACCCAGGGCATGGCCGACTGCGTCCAGGTGTACACGGACGCGTTCCAGAAGGACCTCGACCAGCTCTTTGCGCTCGCCAAGAAGAAGCGCATCGCAGAAGCCCAGGGCGTCAACTCGACGATCCAAACCACCATGAAACAGATCGAGGAGCACAAGCGGGACCTCATGTACGTCGATGAGCCTCTCTTCGTGGCGATCCTCCCGTGTTCTTGCCTATAGGACCGTACACGAGACGTACGAGGCCAACTTTACCGCGAGTATCGAGCGTGTGGAGCAAGAGCTCGAGCGGCTCAAGGAGCTGCGCAAGACTGTCGTCGGCGCTTACGATACGGGAAAGCAGCAAGTCGAGGCTTCGTTCAAAGACGCGTTTGCGAACGTCGACGCGATGATTGTTCGTCTCCAAGCGGACTCGAGCGCCGTCCTCGTCGACACGTCGTACCTCGACGCGTTCCAAGCCGAGGCCGCACGCTTCGTCATAGAGTAGTGACTTTGCACGCAATGCATTGTGTTGTGCTCTCATTTGGTACCACTTGCTACGACATCGAGGCTAGTCCAAGATGCCCGATTCGAGAAGCAAGTGCTGAAACTTTTGAAAAACGACGAGCTGCTCTTCGTCCGTCAAGCGCTCGAGCACGCGCAAGATGTTGGAGACGCGGTCCGGACGCTGGATAAAGTTGGTAAAGTACACGAACGTGAACATGCCCATGATGATCTGACAGTCCATGCGGTCGACGACGCCGCCATGGCCCGGAATGCTCGTGCCAAAGTCCTTGATCTTGAACGCGCGCTTGAAGCCAGAAGCAAAAAAGCCACCAAACGGCGCGACGATCGACGCAAAGATGGCGAAGAACACCATGTGGTACTGGATCGGCGCCAATGTCAACTCGAGGAGCATCTCGGGCACGTACTGCGACAGCGTCGGGTACGCATGGAGCGGCAGTGGTACAAAGATTTGCGCGGGCGTGCAGCTCTTGAATGCGAGGTGAAAGCCGACTTGGGGGCACACCATCATCTCGTACTGCGCCATGAAGCGGGAAAAGCCCATCGACCAGAGCACGGTCGCGCCGTATGCGCCAATGAAGCCTTCCCACGTCTTCTTGGGCGACAGCTTTGGAATCAGCGGCGTCCGGCCCCAAAAGAACCCGAAAATGTACGCAAAGACGTCGTTGACAATGATGAGCGAGCACGGAAGCAGGAACCAGATGAGGCCTTCAAACATGTTGGAGATCATAAAGGTCGACTGCGCAACGATCATGAGCAGCGCGACGTGGCAGAACGCAAACTGCGAGAATTGGTACTTGTAGTGCTTGCGCTTCCGGAGGCTAAAGACGAACGAGACAAAGCCGACGACGTACAACGCGAACGAGATCGCCGTGTGGTGCTGCACGATGAAGCCCTTCTCGAGAAAGTAGAGGCCAAACACGTGGTCAAACTCGTGGACTTCAAAGTGGGGCATGAGCGCGCGGCCATAGACAAAGAACGTGCAGACAAAGAACCAGTAGTAGTACAGCCGGCGGAACATGGGCATCTCGTTCTCGACTTGGTGCTTGAACATGAGCGCGACGAGCTCGCCGTACATAATGGCCTGCAGCACAAACACGAGCGCGCAGCAACCCGGCTGCTTGAGGCCAAAGACGATGCCAAGGAAGGCCACGATCATGAGCAGCGTGTAGATCGTGCGCGTCTTGAAGCTTTGCCACTTCTTCGCTTTGTCCTCGTCCACGAGCAACGTCACGTCCTTGGCCTTGGTCGTAAAGTCCCAGCGCGGCTCGCGCCAGCCCGTCGCTGGCTGCTCGACCATCGAGTCGGAGCTCTCGTCGGTCTCGTCGCGCCGGCGATGCTTGGCCTCGCGCCGCCGACGAACCACGGCTCCACTCGACATTCGCAGTTGGATTTCGAAAAACGTCATAACGGCGAAGGCGTTTTATAGGTTGGATAAGGCGGTTAAAACAAAGAATGCCTGCGTTGAACGCATATGGACACGGTATATGCGCTAAACGCAACGAGTGGTCGAAATACGAGGCACTAAAAAAATCTGAAAAATGCAAGCAAATAATGCGACACGAGCGGAGGATCATGAAGACGCCGCTGGAATGATGGAAGGTGGATGATGCCAGTGTTTGGATTGTGATGAAATAGCACAGAATTCAGGCCCATCAACTGAGCTATCAACTGCCCGGCACGACGCCAGTAGCGATAGGCCAAGAGACCAAGCAACGGCCTTTTCTTGGTCGCTGGCGTCCTTTTTCGAGTTTGCTGTGACGACGGTACCTCCGTGACGATGTGCTGTAGACGTCGCCAGTGTCTAGCATCGTCCGTCGCCCACCCAAGACGCGGTTCTGTGAGCAGTGAGTGCTTGCAAGCGCTCAACCTTCTCGCCGTAAAACGATATACACATTCGTCAATGGCACTTGGGCCTGTAAATATAGGGCGGTGGGCCGCCTTTTGCAGGAGCTGGGGAGGTGGCAATGATCGGCCATCGACTGCGCGGCCGAGGGTATGGGCATTACATGCACGGTGCGTCGTCTGGCGCGTTGAGGGGGCTGCGATTTATGTCGACGCAAATGCGTCTCTGTTGCGGCACAAAAGTGCAAGTGTGTCACGGTATCTCTCTTACGCCAACACAGGTGGCAACGCTGTCGCAAATGTGCAACACGTCGATACCGACGCAAATCGACCGACGAACACAAATCTGGTTTTGCAGAACGTGACAGCGCAGTCCAACGGGTCGCAGAGTAGTCCCACATCGCAATCCGCCATGGCCACGACAGCAGTCTGGACCGAGTCGGCCGACGTCGTCGCGCGCTGCAAGAGCCTCGTGGCGCAAGGCGTCGCCAGCACAGTAAGCGTGCCCAGCACCGCGCCGACGAGCGTGGCCACCCGCCTCACGCGCGTCGGCCTTTCCTGGAACGCCCTCTCGACCTTGCAAAAGCAAGCGCTTCTTTGGGACCACGGCCTCGTGCAAACCGACGCGACGACGTATACGCAAGTGTACACGAGCTGCGAAAGCGACGGCGTCGGCCGGGCCATGGCCTCGATTGGCCTCACGAAAGCCGAGGTCGCGGCCGCCGGCGTCGCTCTCGCGACCTGCCCCGCGTCCACCGGCAACTACGCACGCCAGGATATTGGCTCGTTCCCGCTCAAGCTCACCAAGTGCGCAGTCCCGCTCAAGAGTGCGTTCACGAGCAATGCGAGCGTGTGGAGCCAAGACGCGCTCGGCGCGACGCGGCCGTTTGACCTGCGCGTGTACCAGCACACGGCGACATCCGGCGCCATCATGGCCATCCACGCGACCAGCGCTGGCGGCGCCGACACGAGCACGACAACGTCGATCGGGTCGTGTCCGTCGACGCCCGGCGGCCTCGCGATTCCGTGCGCCATCTACTCGACTGCGGTCGTCGCGTCGGGCAGCGGCAGTGGCACCGCACCCAAGTGGTGCGTCCCGCCAACCTCGGACGCCATGACGTCATGGCTCCTCGAAGTGCGCGCAGCAATCAAGACGGCGGCGCCTGGTGCGTCATCATCGTCGACCGCCGCGATTGTACTCGGTGTGCTCCTCGGCCTCGTGCTGCTCGCTGGTGGCGGCTACTGGTTCTTCTTTGTGCGCAAGCCGCGCAAGAAGAAGCGACGCACGAATGACGCGCCGGGCTTCCTCGGCAACGCGTTCTTGCGCCATAAGAACCAACGCCCGGAGCCGGAGGAAGAAGACTCGTACGAGCGTCAGCTCCAGGAAATGAACGTCGGGACGGCTGCGGCGTCGCTCAAGCTCAACGCGTTCGAGCACGACCCGTTCTTGTTTTCCCGGCGCTTGCCGTACGGCGCGGTAACGTGCCACCGCATCTTGTCGAAAGGGGCGTATGGCGAAGTCTGGATCGGCTCCTTCCGCGGCAAGGAAGTCGCGATCAAGAAGATCCTGCACGCCAAGCGCCACGACACGTTTGAGCTCGAGTGCTTTACGGAGGAGATTCGCATCATGGCGGCGCTCGACCACCCGCACATTGTGCACCTCATTGGCTTTGCGTGGGATACGCTCACGAACCTCTGCGCGGTCACCGAGTACCTCGCCAAAGGTGACGTGACGGGGTACCTCGTGGCCAACATGGATTTGAACTGGGACGCCAAGCTGCGGCTGGCGGTCGGCACAGCTCGGGCGCTCGCCTACCTCCATGGCCGTTCGCCTGCGATCATTCACCGCGATCTCAAGAGCAAGAACATCCTCGTCTCGGACACGGGCGAAGCCAAGTTGAGCGACTTTGGCATCTCGCGCACCCGCGTGGCCGACGAAACCATGACTGTCGGTGTCGGGACGGTGTACTGGACCGCCCCCGAAGTGCTATTGGGCCAAAAGTACACGGAGCAAGTCGACATTTACTCGTTTGGCGTTGTCCTCTGCGAGCTCGACACGCACCGCGCGCCGTACGCCGACATGCAGGAGGTTGCGCAAATGGCGATCGCGCAGCGCGTCGCGACGCACCAGTTTCGCCCGCCCTTCAGCGCCAAGTGCCCCAAGCTCGTGAAAGACCTCGCTGACCGCTGCATGGCGCAAGACCCGAGCGCGCGCCCGAATGCGCAGGAGATCGTCGACCTCATCGAGCTCTGGAAGGGCTGGAAACAAGCCTAGGCTCTCGCGTCTTATGTGTTGTCGAATTGAATATACTGCAAATAAAAATGAGATCTTATTGCTGTGGAACGCCCGGTCCTCAGTCTTGGATTTGGTCGAGAGGAACGACGACGACGACAATAGGTCCGCACGGCGGACAGTATATTAATTAGATGAGCGCACTGCCTCTGTCTACGAATTGGAGGCGCCGCCGCCACTGCCCTCAAAGAGCTCGTTGTATGCTGGGCCGCCGGGCGCGGGCGCCGTCGTTGGCGTGGTCGGCCTCGAGGCTTCGCGAGAGCTGGATGCGCTTGTCGTGGATCGCAGCGTGCTGCTGCTTTAGGTTCTCAAAGGCTTGGCAAATGTCGGACGACGGGACGTCTGCCGTGATGTCTTTGGGAAGTGTGAGCACCGGCGCCGACGCCATTTCCGGGCAATAACTAGCAAATGGAGGCGAGACAAGGGGTTGGGTTGGACGCTGGGGGTAGGGGAGTTTGGTCTCGGCGCCTGCACCCTTCCGTGAGCCTTCGTTACACCTATGACAAGCCTCCAACGAGACCATCGACGAGCTGTAGTCGTCATGCAACGGTGCTTGATCGCGGGAAGGAGCCGACGTGGGCGAGCTTGCGCGCGTTCACCGTATATTGACACTATTTCAAAAAGCGCAAATCGTGTGCGCAGACTATTCAAGTGCATCGAAAATAGCGTGCTTGCATCGGCCGTGCCCAGCCCGATCCCTGGGTTGAAGAACCTATGGGTCGCTACAGCGCCTTACAATACAAAAACAACCTGGATTTAAGAATGCGCGTCATCATATCCCTCGCCCCACGTGCAAGATCATCCTCCATTTCACGCAGCCAAGATGACGTCGACCGAGCCGGCGATGCAAGTGTTTGAGTGCGTCCGCAACATGTGGGCGACGCGGGCCTTGGCGACGGTCGCCTCGCTCAAGATCCCGGACCTCCTGCGCGACGGGCCGCTCAGCGCCGACGAGATTGCGGCGCAGCTCGGGCTCCACGCCGACAGCGTCTTTCGCCTCCTTCGTGCGGTCGCGTCCATGGGCTTTCTATCGCACGAGGATACGACGGTCTTTGCGCTCACATCGTCGGGCGAGGCGCTCATCTCGGACGTCCCGGGCTCGATGCGCTCGTACCTCGTGGCCATGACGGCGCCCGGCCACTGGCTGCCGTGGGGCAACCTCGAGCACACGATCCGCCATGGCACGCCGGCCACCGACATGGTAGACGCCATTTCGTACGCTCTCGCTCATGCGCATGCGGCTTAGGAGCTCGGCGCGGACCTCGGCAGCTACTACGCCAAGCACCACGACGAGGGCCACCTCTTCAACGACGCCATGGCCAACGTGTTTGCGATCTCGGGCGCTGTCTGCCTTGAGCACTACGCCTTTGAAGACGTTGTGACCGACGACATGACGGTCGTCGACGTGGGCGGCGCGCACGGCGACTTCCTCGTCGATGTACTCGCGGCGCTCAACCGCCCCGAGACGATCCGGGGCATCCTCTTTGAGTTGCCCCACGTGGTCCAGGAAGCTGCCACGTATGGCAACCTGAGTCTCGACATTGACTGTGTCTCGGGCGACTTCTTCGAGTCGGTGCCGCCCGGCGACTTGTATTTGCTCAAGCACATTTTGCACGAGTGGGACGACGCGCACTGCGTGACGCTGCTGCGTCACATTCGCGCGGCCATGCCCGCGACCGGGCGCGTGCTCATCATCGATGTAGTCCTCTCTGAGACCCCCGATGACTCGACGGCCATGCTCGACCTCAACACGCTGGTGATGTTCCGCGGCCGCGAGCGCACAGAAGCCGAGTTCCACGACCTCTTGAGCGCCGCCGAGATGCATCTCGTGCGCGTCATCCGCACTGGCACGCCCTTCTCCATCATCGAAGCAGTTGCGATCTAAGCTCATTGCTCAATGATGCTATTGACGTTGTGTTGATCAACATGCTTTGTGTGCCATGGCCAAGTGTTGCTTCCACGAGCGGTAACCATTGCATGTGCCTCATGTCGATCTGACAAGCTGTCGCTGGAAAGGTCCTGCTTGGTACAAGGTGCCAGACCATGATGCAGCTCTACAGCCTACGTCGGCGTCACCGTACGGCGCGCTCGCTCGTTCGTCATGGCATGGGTTGCGAGCGTTGCCAGCGGTGCGAGGCAGTCGACTGAGAACTGGTTTGGCAGACGCCAAGGGCCCATATCTTGGCGTCTGCATGTCCTCGTGTCCTCCATCGACTCCGTCCGTCTCACGACCCTTGATTGCTTGGACTCTTGGCCGGTCGACCACTAGCCCACTCGCCATGATGGGTCGCAAGCGCGAACGCACATCGCGCCAGGCCTCGCCTGTCCCGGGCATGGCTGTCGTGGTCGACCACGTAGCGTAGCGTTGGCGATGTGCATGCGTCTTGTCTCGTTGCGCATGCAGTGTCTTGGAACGATGCTGCAGCGTCGGCGAGCTGGCAGCGCTGCCAAAAGCGGTTGCGATCTTATCGAGAAATTTGGAAATTTAGATTTTGGAAATTGGGATTATTTTATTTTATTTCTTGACCATGGTGCTCCAAGCCACGGCCGACGGCAGCTTCGACGCCGACGCCGCTGGCGACGACTGGGCGGCGCTCAAGACCGACGGCAATGGCCTCTTTGCCAAGAAGGACTACGTCGGAGCCATCGATGCCTACGCGCGCGCGCTCGCTGCGGCGCCCAAGGACCAGCAGCATCTCGTGCTCGGCAACCGGTCGTCGTGCTACTTTCAGCTGCAGCGGTACTCGGACGCGCTCGCCGATGCCAACGCGGCGCTCGCGCTGCAGCCGCAGTGGGAGAAAGGGCGCGCGCGCAAGCAGTGCATTCTCAAGGCCATGGCGGTGTCCAAGGCGGCGACGGCAACGACGACGGCCAAGGCGCTGCGCGGCCTGTACGTCGAGAAGGACCCGGTCGTGCCCGACGCGGACGCAACCAAGCCGGCGCAGATGCTGTGGCGCCGTTTGAAGCAGTCGCTGGCATCGCAGCACCAGGGCTGCCTCGACGGTATCTTTGCCAAGCTCAGCAACGAACGCGACTTTGTGCAGCTGGTCTACCCGGGCATCTCGGCCGAGGACATTCAGCGGCAGCAGTTGCCGCGGTCGTTGCGCCAGCTCCTCGCCGACGCGGCCACGTACGAGTCGGAGCTCATTGCGCTCATGCCCAAGGTCGAAGCCAAGGCGAACCTCGTGCTCGGGAACGTAAAAGCCAAGGGCGCAGCGCAGGGCGAGATCATGGACGCCGCCACCGAGGCCGTGTTGCGACCACAGGTTTTCAACGAGGCCTTTGCGCGCGAACTTTTGAGCATGATCCAGCGCGTCAACACCCACAAGCATGCGCTCTTGGCGCAAGACGCGCGGTTCCTCGCGAGTCCCGACGCCGAGTGCGCGCACCTCGCACGCATCGACGACCATGTCGGCGACCGCCTCTTTCGATCGTGCACGGTGGCGTGTGGCGTGCTCGATAGCTTTATGGGCGACGAGTACATTCCCTTGTTGCGGAGCGATGCGCTCCGTCTGCGCAAACAAGGCAAACTCCTACCTGTCGGGCCCCACGCCATGCGCTTCTGGACAACCGAGAGCTCGTTGAGCGACGACTTTCCCGCACTTGCCGACGTGGTCGAGAAGCTGCATATGCTGCCCTTTGCTCTCAACCGGCAGTTTGACCTCCGACTCTGCGACGAGGCCAAGATGGAGGTCGCGTGCTCGACGTCCCTGGTGTGCCTCGAGACGGGACAGTCGCAGCCGCGCCGTCTCGACTGCGGTCCGCCCGGCGATCCCAATGACAATGGCTACAAGCTCACGTGCGTCTACTGTCTCGGTGGGGACGAGACCGTGTCGGGCGGCGACCTCGAAGTGACATCGCTCTCGTCCGGTGTCGCAACGGTGTTTGCTGCTACAACCGACTGTCTCTGGCTCTACAAGAGCCAAGAAGTGCTCAATGCACTCACGCCCGTGACGTCGTCCAGCCCCATGTTCTACCTCGTGTTTCGTATCCATGGCATGGTGCCCTTGTGATCGGTTGCCTTCTATCTATCCTACGTAAGGAGCCAGTAACGTGAGCTTGTCGGCTTCGCTGCGACCAACTCGACGACTAACATCACATCATTTAAGTTACAAGACGACCCTAATCGTCGACGATGGCCCCTCTTGCATCGAGATAGCTAGCCAGTGCCACGGGCTTTGATTTTTGAACCTTGTTCAATGCTTTGGAAATGACAACGACGGGCGGTGCGACGGGGGGCTCGCTGTTGTTGGTCGACGGTTCTCGCACAACAACAGGCGGAAGGTACTGGATGGAGCTTGTGACACGGAGCTCGACGCAGCTCGTGGAGGCAGCGAGCGGCTTGTGGCGGGTCGACTTCATTGGCTTGGCGTGCGCGCTTGGGTGCATGACGACGGTGCGCTGGCCTAGCAACGGCAGCGGCGGCCCGAGGGAGGCAAGCGACTTGGACTGCACGATGGCGCACTGGTGCGGAAATGCGTCCAGTGCGATCGGCGGCGCCGCTTGGTGGCGGTGGGGCCAACACGTGACGCAAAAGATGGAAAAGCACGGGGAACACCAATAGAGCGCTTCGTTGACGAGGCAGTCGGCGCAGACAAGCACCATGGGATCGGTCAGTGGCGGTAGCTCGTCACGCACGACGGCTGTCATTGGTTTTTCAAACACGATCGCACCGTCGTTGGTCGTCGGTAGCTGCCGACCGCGCTTGGGGACCGGCTGCAACTGAGCCGACGGCGAGACGAGGTGCGACCGACTGCCTTGGCGTGAGTCGAGCAAAAGCGTCCGCGGACTTGATACAAACGACTCTGCTTCGTCCGGAAGGACCGTCGCCAGCGGGTTGGGCACGCTGAGGTACTTGCGCAGCCGCAGCTTGCGCTTGAGGTTCTCTTCTTGCGTCATTTGGGCTTCCCGGGCCATCTCGCGGGAGCCTGACCGGCGCGACGAGCTAAAGGCAAGCGCGGCGAGGCTCAGTGGCGGCGCCATGGTCGGCGCGATCGACTCGAGAGGTCGCCACTGCAGCGTCGCAGCGTCGATGATGGCATCAAAGAGGTTCGTGACAGCGTCCAAGCACGCTGCGATCGTCGGGTTCAAGACAAAGTGGCTCAAGACCGCGTTGAGCGCTTCGACAAAGTCGTCGTAGCCCACACGCGGTGGCGTCTCGAGGAGCGAGATTGGGTCGAGTGCGATCAAACTGTAGCGCCGCGCAATGCGCCTCGTGAGCGCACTCCACGCGTCCTTGGACACGATGTTTCCGGACGTTGCGGTCGTCGCGAGCACCACTTGGTACGGCAGCGCGTAGAGCTTGTCGAGCTTGAGCCGCAACGCGTGGGTGTCGCAAATGCGCTGAAACATGGTCGGTGCAGGCGTGGCAGTGACGAGCTGGGCGCTGATTCTTTGTTGGGATGCTTCGTGCGCCTTGGGCTTGGACGTGGTGGCGGCGCGGTGTGGCCGTGGTCGCAGCGGGCGCGTGATCGACCCCGTGGTTGCCGGGTGCTGGCCTGGACGATGGCGCGTCGGCGCCTGCACAATGGCCTCGATGCCGTAGACACCGCCATGAAAGGCGGTCGCGCCCGTGAGGAGCTCGTCCGCGTCGTAGTCGCCCCAGCGGTCGACCATGCGAAATGAACCAAACTAAAAATACTCAAATTGGGCAAGTTGAAGTGGAGCGAATTGAAGCCCATGCAGGCGAGGCGGCAGCACGCGTCGCAACGGCCCTTTAGCGACCTCACGTGGCGCTTTCTGTCGCCGCCATCGCGAGTCACCGCGCTACCTGCGAACGACGAGCCATTTCTGCAGCCGAGCTTCCTTGCGGCGCTGACGCTGCAGCACACGTTCGACACCGAGTATGTCGACCCGACAGAGAACAAGATTCTGTCGCTTCTCACAGGCGAAACGCAGCGCGACGACATTTTGGACTCGCTCATGAACGAGCTCCACGTACTGCGCAGCGAGCAAGAGAAGGCGCCCAAGAACGACCACCACGACTTTAGCCAAGTGGCCGACGCCGTGCCGCACGAGGCGCCGACAGTTCCAAGCCCACCGGCCAAGACGCGCCGCCTCTCGATCTTTCGACCCGAAGACATGCAGATGGTCAAGGACACGGCACACGCCCGGATCCAAGGCAAACTCGACTTGCTCCAGAACGAAGCCAACCGCAAGAAGACACCGGAGGATGGACCGATGCAACCCGAGCGACCGACGACGCCGCACATTCTATGGCGCGCCTCGGACCGCGTGCGACTCGCTCTCGACATTCCCGCCGAGCTCAGTGGCGAATCGCCCAAAATCAACGCAGCGGTCTCGCCCGCGACGCCCCAACTTTGCGTGACCAAGAAAAAGGCGGCCTATGGCGCGTGGTACCTCCCGCCCAAAAGCTGGTGCAAGCAAACGCCGGACGGGGCGCGCAGTCGGGGCGCCCCGACCAAGAAAGGCATGCCAAGCGACACGACAAAGGCGCTCGCGCTGCGCGAGCAAATTCCCAAACTCTTCATTGCGCGCGAGTACCGCAGCTTTATCGAGTCCCGGAACGCGCGCATGCCACCGTATTTGAGCGAGCCCACGTGATGTCACACTTGATACATCGATAGATTATACTATATGGTGTTGCACGGCAACGAGTGGTCTTGCCAGGAATGTGTTGGTGGTCGAGGACAGGGCAACCATAGAGGATGAACCCTTATCGGACATCGGGCGAGACCCGGAGCATGCAAATTTACAGCCTCTTGAGGGCGTCGAGCAAGGCAAAGCTCATAGCACAGTGCAGTACGTAGGACGCTCGAGGTGCCGTTGAAAGAAGCACAGCGTCATCGCCACCTAGAAGCACCCATGAACTCCTCGAAGAAGCCCTGGTCCACGACCTTCAACATACGTCGAGATGCATCGTTCAATTGTGCCGGTCAGCAACAGCCATTCAAAGACGTTATGATAGAGGTACTGTCGTCCTGCCGAGAGATGACGGTATTGCATTTGGCGACAGTGAAAACTTGGCTTGTTCCTGGCAGTGTACGACGAAATTCTGCGGGCTGCCTCTTGGTAATGCTACCATCTTTACGCAATAAACAGCTGCGGCGCCTCCGACGACAATGCAAGATCGACCTCGAACGCGGTCAAGACGTCTCGCAGAGCGGGTGTCGGCTCGACAAGGCCGCGCGCCGCTCGGACGACGGCGAGGGCGGCTTCGTACGGCAGTCGACACGTGTGCATGAGGTACGCGATGCAGACGGCGCCGCTAAACGCCACACCCGTCTCACAAAACACGAGAACCGTCGCATGCAATGCGAGCTGCTCGTTGAGGAGGTTGACGCTCGCCATTGCGTCCAAGTTGACCTTGTCGAGATCCAAGCGCAGAAGCGTGTCGCGCGCAGTGGTCGCCACTTCGATCCCGTCCAGCGCACGCGCTGTGGCCGCGACAAATCCGCGCGAAAAAGGCGCGTCGTCCGAGAGCGACGAGAGCAAGGCGAGCGACGAGCCGATGAAGAGCCCGGGCGCGACTTGCTGCTTGTCGGACGCGATCGCCACCGAGATGCGCTCGCGCCGAACGTAGCTGTGCACGCTCGAGAGCAGTGGCAGACGCAGCTCGCTCAGGAGGTCGAGGAGCGCGGCTTGGACGTTGGCGAGGACGTCGTCGCCGACGTGCGGCGCATACACGACGAATAGGTACAGGTTCTCGAGCTGCTCTTCAAGCTCCAAGTGGCGGAAATCGAGCGGGTTTGATGGACTCGTAAGGCGGTGGCGGTACCGGGTGTACGCCGCGTAGAGTGCGATGAAGAAGCGGAGGCTACGCACGCGCACGACGGTTGAACCCATCCTCGTTGAATCTGCAAAGATCTTGTAACACGCGATCTTCCACGTCGTTGCGGCCAATGGGTTGCCGAACTGAAGCGATACATAACCCCCCGGCGCTGCAACCTCATTAGGTGTACGTCCCATGCGTAGGAACTGCCCTGGTAGAGCGCGTCACCAGGCGGCAGCACCGCCAGTCGTCACCTGTGACCGTTGGTTGCATACAGTGGCGGGGCACTGGGTGTGAACCTAGCCCACGTCACTTGGCCGGGACGAGGCGATGTGTGTTTGCATGTTTAGTCTTACGGAGAAGCCCGTTGATGTGGGACTCTACAGCCTTTGGCAGCAGTCCGTAGACGTATCTTCGCTGCCATTGCGTTTGCTTCATAGAACTCTAGCCGGTGTTTAGGGAGTCCGACCTCCCTCTGTCTGGTGATAAATGTTCTGGTTGTTGCCTTGAGCGGAATCGGTCACAGCGCCGCAAGTACGATTTGAAAACGTGGAGAGGACGGTTGTTGAAGCCATCCTCGATGCATCGGCTGTCGTTTGCTGTGGCAACCCCCGCAGTGTTGTCTCGGAGGCAAGGCCACCGGGCTTCTTTCCGTCGACCATTGCAAGTCGTTCTCGACTTCAACGCAGTATTGTACATAGAATATTCCATTCCTCACATTACACTCGATTTCGAGCGAGAGATAGACCTTCGGCACCACTTGGTGCTGGTCGCAAAGGTCGCGCACTTGCGCGGCGGTCGCCAGGACTTGTGCAAATACCGTTCTTGAGGCACCCGGTGCACGGACAACGTTGCCTTGGTGTGCCGCACCTAGAGCCCGTTGGTGCAGCTCGTGAAGAGGGTCGCTCGGGATTTCGACAAAAATTGCCCCATTTCAGATCGGTTTACAAAATGTGCCCATTTTTGCCCCAAAACGCAACAATTAGTGACACAATGGGCCCAAATAGCAACTTTCGACACGAATCCGAACATTAGAGTCGGCGTACTAGCCTTCCATGGCATTCGAGACAATCTTGACTTGACTTTTGTGATCAAAGAGTCGAACGATCGGCAGCAAGACCAACCCTGGCGGGATGCCGCGCAGGCACTCGGGCACCCTGTGGCCATTGACCTCAAAGTGGATCGATGCCGTGTGGCGGTCGTAGACGACTTGGACGACGACCTCGGACACGCCGCTGGAACGGACCAACGACGACGTGGGTGTTTGCGTGAGGACTTGGCCAGGTACGAACGCCTGCAGGAACGCCCGCGGCCACCGGAAGAACCATCCGGGAAGCGCACCCGAGTGCCGAGTGTCAGTAAAGTTGGTGCGCGTCGTGAGCCCGACGTCAATAGTCTGCAGCGCGGAAAAGCGAACGCAAAAACGCGCTGTGGGGGTCGTGCCGAGGACCGGTGACATGTCGGCGGTGACGCCGTGCTTGGTCACACGGCGGTTCGCGTCCGAGAGCGAGAGCGCTGTGCTGCAGTGGGCCGGGTCCCACGCCATCTCGGCGGCGACAACACTGAGCTGGAGGTAGTCGACAAGCGCGTGGAGCTCTTCGACGTCACTCGTGCACAGGCCATCGAACACGAGTGTTCCGGTGCGCAAGAGGCGCATGATCCGCCCAAAATGCGTCGGGTCGGCATCGATAAAGTACTCGCCTATACGCTGCATTAGCCGCCGCTTTGGCGATCACCGTGTATGCACCGTGCTCGTTGGGCGGCCACGCGAGCATCGCGTCCAAGTAGCTCCCGCGGAAGCGCCGCACGTTGGCCGTGGCGGTTGCAAACTTCTTGCCGCCGACGTTGAGCGTGACGATGCTGGCAGGCGGCGCCGTCGCCTGCAACACCCGCAGCGACGCTTCGGCCGCGCGCAAGTCGGCGAGCTTGGTCTCGACGTCATCGACGAAGCGCATCGCATCGGTATAGGTACCGGCCAGCAGCAACGGGCGAAGCTCGGCCCAGCGCTCGTTGGTGCTTGGCATGTTACCAACTACACGAGTATGGATTGGCCAAAATGAAGTTGATATTGACCAATCAGAGAGACGATGGAGCACGGGATGATGAGCTTTGCACTGCGAGGCAAGACGTTGTGTATAATATTACTGCTTACCCAGAAGGGGTATTAGTCGGATAAATCTAGTTCATTACGACTAACAATATGTGGACAAAAAAAACGTAGTTTGCGGTAACCAGTAGGCCAGTCGTGGGGACAACACGGTGACCAGCGCTCTCGGGGTAAAGCGCAAGCTGAACCCGTCCCGCGCGTTGAGCACCGATGGGTTGAAGAGCACGATGTCGGCCATCGCAATCACATAACCAAGTGTCCAGAGCGCTTTGGTCGCATTGCCTTCGGCGCTCGAGATCAGCGCGCCCAGGTACGCGCCGGCCGCGGCGCCGAAGATTGACCGGATCGACCGGAAGCCGAGCCAGAGTGTGCCTCGCACCATCGCCGCCAGGTCCGAAGCAGACCTAAGGAGGCGGACTTCGTCGACGAGAAACGCAGCAAGGGCCGGCAGCAGCGCGACGCGAGCACCGGTGATCAACATGCGCTCGGCGACGAGCGTGGGGTCACCGAGGCGGCAGAACTTGCGACCCGACGACCGCAAGAGACTTTTGACGAGCTTGCCTATCATTATTTTAAAAACATAAGAGAGAAAGGTGAGTGGGGCTCGACGCGTACCGGCGGTGCGGGCTGGAAGGTACTTGACGCAAGCAGCCTCAAGAGCACAGAGCGTGGCCGTGACGCTCAGCGATCGGGTCGCATTCGTGACGCACTTCTTTGGAAAGTCTTCCAAACTCTTGATGTTGTTGCCATCAAGGGACCAAGTGGCGTCGATGATGGCCGCGTAAGCGGTGGTCACCAACATGGTTGGCGAGAAGCGTGTCATCGGCCGGTTGTAGTCTTCGAGGTAGTCCTTCTGGCCGTTCGCATGCTTGAGCGCGCGGTGCGATGTGGTGACGAGTGCGAGTCCGAACAACGGGACACGGAACGCAGCGGCTTGCAGCGATGCAGCTGCAGACGGAAGCGTGCTGCCAGCGTCCATGCGCACTTTTGAAACTGAGGTGTGAGTTGAACTTTGGCAATCTCAAGACCGACTATCATTGGTGAAAGCCTGATTGGGTTTAATAGTTTAAACAAGAAGACACCAACGTCAAACCGAGGTAGAACGACATAAACCTTGGGTTCACCCCCTAAAACGCGCTCGGGCGAGAGGTTGCAAGGTTTACTCGACCCCACAATCCGCTGCTTTGAAAGCAGCGAATTGTTCCGGTTGTTGGGACAATGCGTTTATCCCAATAACGAAGGATGTGACATGTCCGGATAAAATTGGGACAAAGGTATCTCCCACAGTTAACCGGACGTGACAATCATCCCTATCAGCATTGTGGTGGTTGCTTGCGAATGGCGAGTACGCTCGACGTCGTTGCCGCGGACCCGGCCCCGTTCCTTCGCTGCGCGTACCGCAGTGCCAAGCGCGAGCTCTCGCGGCGCTTCTACGGCAAGGACTACCTCGTCGATCGGCGCGCCTTTCTGGCCCACTTGAGCGCGGACGCGCTGGTGCACACGGCGCTCGTGGCCGGCCTCATGGAGGCGCACCTCGTGCTTGTCCGTGCGATGACCGACAAGGCCGCGGGGCGAAGTAGTGCGGTTGGCGCCTGCACGTGCGACACCTTTGTGCAACCGTGGCTTGCCAACGTCGGCCGCGCCGTGAGCTACCCGACGATAACCCGGCTGCTCGAAGACTGGTGCATCGAACACTTGACGGCACGCACCACCGGTGCGATCCTTTGGCCTGTGCATAAACTTCATAACAAGGCGTACTATGGTAGGCAAGCTTATCAAGGACATCTTTCTCTCGTCGTTGCGCAAGTCGGTCCGGCACCAAGGCGAGCGCGCAGCGGTCGCTCGCCTCATGCTGCCGACAGCCGCACGCGCCGCCCTCCTCCCAGCACTCGCCGTTTTTGTCGTTGAGCAAGGCGTATTGCAGTGGCAGCTCGCGACGGCGCCCGCGGCCACGTACTGGTCGGCGACGTGGCTGCAGCTACTGCGATTTGCCGGTGCGGTCGTCGGGTCGGCCGTCGGCGCTGCCATTGGCACGTACTTCGAGCCCGGCACCGGGACCGTGCTCGGCGCGGGGCTAGGTCAAATGCTTTTTACCGGCGTCACGGCGTCCGACCGCGTATTCCTTGGCAGCGCCAGTCTCTTTGCGTCGCGGGACCGTATGTACATTGTGTCTGTCGGTGCAGACAACGTCTTGCTCTACTAGTCGTTGCCAAGTGTCCTAGTACTCGTTTCATAGTGCCGAGGCCACTTGCACGTTGATACTACCTCTCAAATGCACTTTTTCTTTCATAAAAAGCATGTATCAGAACTTAGTTTCGGCGAATTTACACCACTCGGATCGCTTACGACGCATTTGCGGTATGGCACAGGTTGCTCCACCCACGGCGCCGCACGACGCTCGACGAGTTGGACGTGTTGACCCAAGGACCCTCGAACGACTTGGCGTAAAACCAGCCGTGGACATCGCCTTGGGTGCGGTCAATGGTCCAGCCGAGCGCGCTCCCAACCGCCGAGGGCGGCACTGCGGGTGCAACGGCGTCGCGTTCGGCATGCGACGCAGACCCGACGCTCCACGTCTGGCGCTCGGACGGCAGCAAGTGGTTGGACGACCACTTGCGGCTGGCGTAGCGTTCATTTTCCCATACTTGCAGCGTCGCCACCGGCGACTCCAAGAGCACTTCAAAGCGCAAGACGATACTGCTGTGGACGCGCTGGGAGGCAAACTCGGGCGGGACGTCCAGAGGCAGCACGACCTCGTCCGCGGCGTCTTGCCCGTCGGTGTTGTTACTGTTGTTGCTCTTGTCGGAAGCGGCGTCTTCGAGCGGCTGCAGCGGCACCGACGCTGTGCCAATCACTTCGTCGGCGCCGACGGTGTCGTGGTCCGACACGACGATTTGAAGGATCTCTGTGTACATGGCGCCCTCGGTAATCTGAAACTCAAAGACCTCGTGGTCCCACACCGGGTTGAGCTCGTTGGAAAACTGCGTGCTCTTGCATTTCTTGTCGCCAAGGTAGAACGTCACGTACGGGTCGCTCTTGCCGCCCATGAGCGCCGAGTCGGCGGCCGCGAGGTCGGCACAGCGCACGAGCTGCACACGCAACAGCCGCGGTGCTGTGCTGAGCGACTTGAGGCGCGAGTCGACCTTGAGTTGTCTGTTCAAGATGGAGTGAGACGAGAGCCTGGAATCGGAGCACGTACTTCTTCGAGATGCGCTGCTCGTTGGCGTACCGCCATCGACTTGTTTCGAGCTCGAGTTCGGCGATACGGGCGCGAAGCGCTTCACTGTCGGCGGTGCGCGCCACCAGAGTGGCTTGCGTCGCTGCATGCGCGTCGGTCACGACTTGGAGCGTCGCTTGGTGCGCGGCGGTGGCGGTGGCGAGGGCGGCCGCCGCTTCGCGCTTCTGACGCTCCATCGCAGCGGCGTGCTCGTCTTGTGCTTGCTGGTACTGCGCACAGAGCGTCGCATGGGCGTCCCGCGCTGCCAAAAGCTCGCGCACGGTCACTGCGTGGTCTTGCCGAAGCATATCGGCAAGGACCTTCTTCTGCGCCTGGACGTCGGCAGGAAGAATTCGACGGAGAAGCCGGCGTCGGCGACAGTAGCAATTCGCGCTCATCGAGTTGTGCCAGGGTCCAGCAAATGTATCCGCGTAGTACCAGCCGTAGGCGTCGCCGGCGTGGACCTCGGGGAACCAGCCCAGAGACGCCACGTGCGTTGGCGGCACGGCTGGCAGCGCCGTGTCGTCGAGGGCAGGTCGGGCGTCGGTGGGCAGGAGGTTTTGGCTTGACCATGCCTCTGCGTACCGCTCGTACTCCCACACATCGAGCGTCGCACCGATCGCAAGGTCGTCGCATGTCCAGACGGCAGCCGAGGCACGGACGCTGCACGTTTGAATCGCACTGTCACCGTCGCTTTCATGAAGCGGCAGCACGAGCGGTATCTCGACCACGTGCTTGTCGGCGTCGAGCGGGCCGACCGGAATGTGCGCTTCGCCCAGACGCGAGGCAAAGCCAAAGAGGTCAATGGCATACAGCGTCACATGCAAGACACGAGACGAGGCCTCGGCTTCCGAGAGCGCAAACTCAAAGACTTGGTGCTGCCAGGTTTCGCTCGGGTGGACGCACGCCGTCTGGAGCGCGCCGCCACGCCCCAATAGCCGCAGCTCAGCGTACACGACGCTTTGCAGCACGCCGCCAAAGCACGACGAGGCCACGACGGCGTCGGCCTCGACCACGTTGTGGAGCTCGAAGCGCAGCAGGCGGTCGGGCCTGCGGTCCATTGGTCGATGTGGTAGAAAAATCTCTGGTCGGTCAAAACGTCAAAAGATCGGCAAAAACGCGTGGCATTTATATCACTTTGGCGCAATTGCGTCATATTATTTTATCCATATTTAAATCCAACCGAGATATAGTATGCAATAGTTTGATTCCAGCAACATGTAATAATAAAAAGGGGAAATCAACATATAAAAATCTTTTGAAAATTGGCTGAACTTGATAACCCGCCAATATACACCCAATCGGCACAGGCCAGCGGACTATAGACACCCAACGAGCTATTCTAGTTTGTGTCTCGTTAATATCAAACTCATCAGCAACTCGAGCTTGCAAATCAGCCTCGTTTTGACGCTCTAGAAACACGCAGTTTGCACCATGCGCGACCGACAATACACGGTCATGGCCGTCCCTCGACGCTTTTCGCCTATTTCGTTATCGCTACCAGTAGCGCACAAATAGAGCAAGTGGCCATGCGCGATATACGTAGCAAAACGTCGTCGTCGCCGACGCGACACCGACCACCTTTACGATCTGCGACATGCCAACCAGCTTGGGTTGCGTGGCAATAGACACAGCGAGTACACCGAACGTCCAGCCTGCCGAATTTGACGCGCCAGCTGTCGGTGCAAGACGGTCCGCTACACCATCCTCTTTTGACGACGATGGCGACGACGACCAAGGTTTGCAGCACGGCGCCGCGTCTCCTGCGTGTGCACGTGGCCGGTCTCGTAAGCGCGTCGCGCCTCTCGTGTGTGGCATCGCTGCCCGTCAAGCTCGCGGTCGTCACCAAGCTGCGCGGGCACGGGACGGCCAACGTCGAGCACGTGACGCCGGCGGTCGCAAACGCCAGCAGCATTGCGTGGGACCACGAAATCTACGAATTCGATCTGACCGAGGCCGAAATGTACACGCGCGTCCTCGAATGCGTCCTGATCGAGACCGACTGCCTCGGCTGGCGCATCGTGCTCGGGAGCGCCAAGATCCCGCTGTCGTCGCTCGAGATGGACCGGAGCCACGTGCACTCGAAAGAGGTGCCCTTTGATGCGCTCGAGTCGAACCTGCGCCTGCAGTTGCATATGGACGTGTGGGACGTCGCGCAAGACGCGGCCGCCGTCGACGTCGAGGCGTTCGAGCACCAGCGCTGCGTGTGGGGTGAGTGGAGCCAGCGCCATTTGCGAGCGTCCGACCGCCCTGTGTACCGGTGCGGACCGCAGACGGGCAATGCACTGGCGACGATTGTGCCACCGACGCCCGACAACTGCGTCCCGTCGCTCGGGTGGGCGGCCGACGAGAGCGGGTGGTTCTACGCCACGTCGTTTGCCGGCCCGTGGCACAGCTCGAACGCTTCGTACCCCGTCCGGCGCCGGCGGCTCGTGCACCGGTACCGTCCCGTGGAGGTGCCTGCCAAGGTCGTCGTGGCTGAGACCGACGTCGTGGTCGGTCAAAGCGTCGCAATGCCCGACATGTCGATCCAAGCGAGCCTCGCCAAGCGCCAAATCATGACCGAAGACTACTAAGTAGCTTGATAAGCTTGATAACATAAAAATTACATGCCGGTCGCTTCACTGTAGTATGGCAGTGCAGGCAACCATGGGCAACTCGCAGATACTGGTTTGGACAAGACAACCTAACCCTCCTCCGTATCGGGTGTCGCGTCCTCTTCCCCTCTTGTCGACTCCTCGGATCTCAGTAGACAACGCGGAAAATGTCTTTCGCGTTAATATGTATAAGGTGCCTTAGGGTCCGGAAGGCGTCGGGCGCCGTGGGAGTCACCTGAATCCCAGACATCGATGTGCAGCACAATGCGCATGCCGTGCTCCACTGCAACCTTGATCTCGTGCACTTGGCTTCGATCGGCTTCGTATGTCGACAAGGGGACGCTGGCACGCCCAACGATGTTGCGCATCCCAAAGCCGTTGGACTCGACAAGTGTCACCTCGAGGAGGCGGTCGTGCATCTCGGCTTTTGTTAGCTCAAAGACATAGACCTCACGGGCCCATGCGACCGAGCCCGTCGTAGGTCCGGCGCTCAGAGGCGGCGTGACGTGCTCGGTTGACTCATCGCCAAGCAGCTTTGTGGTCACCGAGAGCTTGTGCGGGAGCGCCGCGATAAACGAAGGGCGGGGCGCGTTGACGACGCGGGCAACTTGCACGCGCAGCAGGCGCGGCGCAGTGCTCACGTCCGTACTTTGCATCGTCTCGGATGATTGTGGTGTGAAATCATCGCGCCGAGAGAAAGGGCGCTGGATTGATTTTTGAAATGATTAATCTCATCGTACGGCTCAAGAGCGAAGGGTCGTGCTGCGCGGTTGTCGACAACTAAGCACGTAATGGTCCGGTGAATTTCGAGGGGGTAGGTCTCCTAGTCCGCGCAAGCATAATGTACTGACCTATACCTACCGAGTATGCTATACTTTCGGCTATACTAGCACACATATTCTAGTACAGTTGAAAGTGTGAACCACAATCGCTGCAGTCGACCAGCGTGCTCCGCTCGCGACTGGCTTGCCACGTCATACCTCCGAAAATGAATGTGAAAAACCTCTACAAACGTATTTATCGCCGCAATGAGCAATGCTGTCGAAATCGTAGCGCTATAAGTACCGGTATGCAGTACGGAACACTCGACTCGACGATATTCTCTGTCTTCCAACTTGACCATCTAGTTGTCAATCACCGGGCACGACCAACAAGTAGCACCATAGAAAGGTAACGACGTAAAACTACGTCCGTTGAAGATCCAACTTGTAAATGCCGATCTTTGGGCGGAAGAAGGTCGACATCCGCGTGCCGACGGGGAAGAATGCCGTCAACTTGCGCAAGCTGCTCTTCCTGACGCTGCCTGAGAGCTCGCATATTTTGCCGGGCGATGCGTGGGACAAGGTTGTCGTCGCGTCCATACCCTGCGCCAACCGGCTGTGTAGATCGATTTTCGGTGCTTGTCGCTCATGAAGGTCAAGATGCTTCGCGCCGCGTGCTTGGCGCGGGAGCTCGAGCCCAAGGGCGGGAAGCGCGTCTTGGTGTGTCCAATGTACCGTCGGCGGACGTCGATGTAAACGTCATAGGTCGAGCGGTTGACGTCGTCGCTGGAGCGGCAGCGGGCCGAAGGTAGGAAGAAAGGCGTCGCGTCGGCTCATGTGAGCAGAGGACGACGCCCGGCGTGACGTCGCAGTCAAAGAAGAGCGTCGGATCAACAAACTCGGCGGCCTCTGGACTTGCGGCACGGGCACGCAAGGCCAACTCGGTACCAAAATGGATACGCTCAATGAAAGACAATCTTCTCCATACAGGCCACGGTGACTGCGAGAATTATGACATCCCAACGCAAATCAAGAGCACTCGTGGCATGCACTTTAGTCAAGTCTACGCGGTGCGTTCTACGATGACAAGTTGTCCTGTATGTTGGATGGACGCAGGGGTTTGACTCGGACATTACCTTTGGCGTCACACGCGCCGGCGACGTGTACGTCTGGGGCAACAAGTCGGGGCCCACGGGGCTTCCACGGCCCAAGACGAAGAAGGCGTCGACCGCGACCCCGGCAGCGAGCAGCACTGCCACGGCCAACGACGAGAACGCCGCAACTGCAGAGAACGACGATGACGACAACGACGATGAAGACAACGACGACGACGACGACGATGACGCCAACGACGACGACGCGGCAACGGACGACGACGGAGACGACGACGACGCTAGCGTCTCGTTGCGTCCGGATGTAATCCCGGCCCCTGTGAAGCTCAAGTCGCTCTCGGGGGAAGACGTGGTGGCGATTTCTGTTGGGCGCGTGCACTGCGCCGCGCGAACCAAGAATGGCGATGTCTTTACGTGGGGCCAAAACGACCACTGCCAGCTCGGACACGAAGCCGAGCACAGTTTGAACGAAGCTCAATCGCGGGTCCGGCTTCATCGTTGAGATTCGGCATTCTAAGGAGCGGTGTAGCGTGCGATCATCAAGTACGGACTCGACGCGGTCGAGCCCGTGATCTGGACGCGAACGGTGCCTGAGACGTGCGTGATTGTCGGCATCGCCGTCGGGACCGACCACACGCTCGCCGTCTCGGACGACGGCGACATCCTCGGCTTTGGCTCCATGTACAACTCGTCCGACCACTCGACACTGTCACGGCACCTGCGCAAGCAACGCGTGACCCAAGTACGTAGCTACGCGGCAAGCTATGCCATTTGCCAATGCTACGTAGATCTGTTGCGGCGCCTTGCACGCGGCCATCGTCAACGCCAACGGTCAAATGTACACTTGGGGCAGCGGCGACGGCGGGTAGGTTTGAATCTTTTTTGAATTGGCGACAAAGCGGTTATGGCTATAGACGTCTTGGGCATGGCGATTTGGCGATGCAAGTCACCCCCCGCCTAGTCGACGCCCTCGCCAGCGACATTGTACTGCACATTGCGTGCGGCTGTTGGCACACGGTGGCGATCTTGCTTGTCCCGCCGCTGCTCAAAGGCGGCTTTGTACGCTGTCTCGCTTTGTGTCGAGGCATCTCAACGTGGGTTGCGTAGGTGTACACGTGGGGAACCGGGCGTTATGGACAAGTTGTCTCTTTCTTCGATGACACTATTGGTTGAAACGATACCGACTAGCTGGCCCAAGGCGGGCAGCAAATGGTGTCAACGCCGGGCCTCGTGCGCGACTTTCTCATGCAAAGCGTCTTTATGAAGCGGATTTGCGCCGGCATGTACCACAACGTAGCGCTCTCGATCGATGACGAGGTGGTGTCACTACATCGTCTACTAGCTGACCGACGAGGCTAGGTGTATACGTGGGGCAGCAACGTGAACGGGTGTCTTGGCCGCCCACTGGAAATGGCCACCAACCCGGAAACGTTCAGCGCCGTCCCGGGTGTCGTCGAAGGCATGTCGGATTTTGCCGGTCGCCCTTGTGCCAGTACAACTATGCGACATTTCGCCTAGACTATGAACAACTTGTCTAGTTGCTTGTGGACGCGAGTACACGGTGATTGCAACCAAACCATACCTTGGCCCATCCGAAGAAGAGGTCGAGGCGGCCAAGGCGATAGCGGCCGAACGCCAAGCCGCAATCCAAAAGCAAATCGACCGCGAAGACGCCAAAGCCGCGGCGGCGCGCGCGCAAGCCGACGCAGCGGAACGCCTTCGGCTCATTCAATACTTGAACGTGCACCACCCGCTCTGCACTGCGTGCACGGTGCCAGGCACGTGTGCCGGGTTCCAGCGCGACGACGTCGACCCGATCTTGTGCCGGCACTGCTTGCACGGCAAGGGGAGCCACACGCTTTTGTACAGCGAGCGGGACAAAGCTGTGGATTTGGACGGCCTCCAGCGCGTTGCAGCGCTCCTGGACCTCGCTCTCGCGGACGAGGCGGCGGCGGAAGAAAAAGAAGATACATAACAGGATGCCATTGTATAGCAGATTTTAATAACGTTAACTCCAAATTTGACGATTGACATGAACAAAAGCGCATTGCGCATTTTACAGGGGTGGCTCTTGGAGCGTCTCGAGGAGGATCATCGCCTCAAACGGGTCGAGCGTCGGCGTCGATGGAAGCAGCGACAAGTCTTCGTCGTGGAGCTCGAAAAAATCAAAGTCGCCGCGCTGGTGTGCCCACGCCGACTCGTGGATGCTCGACCACTCGGCCCAGTACGCCGTGTCCAGCGTGACTGGCGAGAACGCTTCAAACAGCGGCGGCTCCAACTCACACGACTCGACGCCCGGTGGAGATTCGGACGGCTCGCTCTTGATCAACGGCATCTCAACCACGGGGGGCTTCTCGGGGGTGGGGGGCGTTTGCACCGCGGGGGGCTCGACCGCGGGCGCCAACACGGGGGGCGGTGGTGGCGACACGATGGTTGGCGGCTTGGCCGCCATCGGCACCGGGGCGCGTGCGACAGGCTTGCGGGTCGGTGCCGCGTGCCGCATCTTGGGCTGAAGCGACGAGTACCAGTGGTTTTTGATTGAATTGTCCGTCCTACACATGCGCATCTTCAGCACAACCGCGCACGCGTCCGAGACGACGCACCGGCCTGGCATTTGCTTGGCGATCTGTGCCCAGCGGTTCCCGAGCTTGGCTTGCA